TAACTTTTTCTTTTCTTTTTTAGACAGGGTCTCAATCTGTCACCCAGGCTAGAGTATAATGGCATGGTCAGGGCTCACTGCAGCCTTCACCTTCCTAGGCTCAGGTGATCCCCCCACTTGAACCTTCCAAGTAGCTCAGACTACAGGCATGCACCACCACGCCTGGTTAATTATTTTGAATTTTTTTTTTTTTGTAGTGATGGGGTTTCACCATGTTGCCTAGGCTGGTCTCAAACTCCTGGGCTCGAGTAATCTGCCCCGTTCAGCCTCCCGAAGTGCTAGGATTATAGGTATGAGACACCATGCCCAGCCACCTGTGTAGTTATTGTTACCAGTGTTTTTAATTCATGTGCATTTAAGTTATTTTCTAGGGTCCCTTCATTTCAGCCTGAAGGGCACCCTTTAGTATTTCCAAGTAAAGTGAGCAATTCAATGTTCTTTATTTTATTTACAGAGTTACATGAGCGTCTCCACAATCAATTTTAAACTACTTCATCACCCCAAAAAGAAGCCGTGCACTATTTAGCTATTACCACAAATTTTCTCATTTTAATTTGTCTTTTGACATACGGTATTTTTAATTTAAATTTCCTATAGTCAAATATTTCGTATTTTCTTTTTTTCCCGGCATACAATACAGCACAAAGAACTAAAGTCATCATGCTGTACAGTAGAGTCTCAGAACTTACTAATCTTATAATGTAAAGTTTGTACCCTTTGACCAATATCCCTGGCAACTGTGATTCTAATTGCTGGTTCTAAGAGTTCAACTTCCTTAGATTCCACTTACAAGTGAGATCATACATTATTTTTTTTCTATGTGTGTCTTAGTTTCACTTAGCATAATGTCCTCCATGTTCATGCATGTTATTGAAAATGGCAAGATTTCCTTCTTTCTTTTTTTATATGACTGAATATAAATTTTATATATGTGGAATGAAATTCCATCATACGTATAATGTTTATCCATTCACCCAATAATTGACACTTAGCTTGATTCTTATCTTGGCCATTGTAAAAAATGCTGCGCTAAACATAGTTGTGCAGATATCTCTTCAAGATAATTCTTTTATTTCTTTTGGATATATATCCGGAAGTAAGATTACTGAATCATATAGTTGTTCTTTCTTTAATATCTTAAAGAACCTTCATATTGTTTTCCAAAATGTCTGCACTAACTTACATTTTCACTAATAGTGTACAAAGATTTACTTTTCTTCATACTGTTGCCAACACCTATCTTTCATTTTTTAAAATGATACTCATTCAAACAGTTGTGAGATGATAGTTCATTGTGGTTTTAATTTATTTGCATTCTCTTCATTCTCTTGGCGATTCGTGATGTTGAGCATTTTTTCTTACACCTGTTAAGCATTTATATGTCTTTTTCGAGAAATAGTTATTTAGATCCTTTGCCTTTTTTTTTTTTTGAGACAGAGTCTCGCTCTTTCACCCAGGCTGGAGTGCAGTGGCACTATCTCGGCTCGCTGCAAGCTCTGCCTCCTGGGTTCATGCCATTCTTCTGCCTCAGACTCCCAAGTAGCTGGGACTACAGGCGCCCGCCACTACGCCGGCTAATTTTTTGTATTTTTAGTAGAGACGGGGTTTCACCATGTTAGCCAGGATGGTTGCGATCTTCTGACCTCGTGATCCACCTGCCTTGGCCTCCCCCTTTGCCCATTTTTAATCTGGTTGTTTGTTTTCTTAATGTTGAGTTTTTTGAGTTCCTTATATATTTTGAACATTGATTCCTTATCAGGTGTATGATATGCAAATCTTTTCTCCCACTCTGTAGATTGTCCTTGCACTCTGTTGATTGTTTCCTTTGCTTTGCAGAAGCTTCTTAGTTTGATGTAAACTCATTTATTAATTTTAGCTTCTGTTGCCCTTGCTGTTTGTGTTATAATCAAGAAATCATTGCCAAAACTAATGTCAGGTAACTTTCGCCCTTTATTTTCTTCTGGGAGTCTTACAGCTCAGGTCTTACATCTCAGATTTTACTCCATTATGACTTGCTTTTTCTGTAGGATGTAAGATAAGAATTGAATTTTATTCTTTTGCATGCAGACATCCAGTTTTCTCAACACCATTTACTGAAGAGACTATTCTTTCCTTTTTGTGTATGCATTGTGCCCTTGTCCAAGATCAGTTGGTCATATATGCATGGGTTTATTTCTGAGCACTTTTTAAAAAATTAATTATTATTATTTTTTGAGATGGAGTCTTGTTCTGTAGCCAGACTGGAGTGCATTGGCACAATCTCGGCTCACTGCAACCTCCACCTCCTGGGTTCAAGTGAGTCTCCTGCTTCAGCCTCCCAAGTAGCTGAGACTACAGGTCCCCACCACCACACCTGGCTAATTTTTGTATTTTTAGTAGAGACGGGGTTTCATCATGTTGGTCAGGATGGTCTTGATCTCCTGACTTTGTGATCCACCCGCCTCGGGCTCCCAAAGTGCTGGAATTAACAGGCGTGAGCCACTGCACCTGACCCTCTGAGCTCTTTATTTTGTTTCATTGGTCTATGTGTCTGCTTCTATGTCATTACCACCTGTTTTGATTATTATAGCTTTGTGATATAATTTGAAATCAGAGGTGGCACTGTTTCATAGTTGTAGCTAGAAACACAGTCAGTGAGTCTGTAACCTGGGCATGGGTTCACCTTCATAAAATGGCTTTTCTCGGTCTTGGCCTCCACCAGGGTTTTACAGTCTTCTACCTGGATCCCTGAGCTTGCACAAAAGCATTCATCCATGGATGGACGCCAAATTATTGTTGCTGTGCGAGATATGTGTGTAAAACCTCCTATCCCACCATGTTATTTAATGTCACTGTCCTTCATTTTTGAGGGATAATTTTACTGGATTTAAAATTCTTTGTTGAAAGTCCTTTTTTTTCTTTCAGTTCTTTGACTATGACATCCCACTGCCATCTGGCCTTAATGACCTTTATTACCTTAATGAAAAAATCAGCTGTTAATTTTATTAAGGCTTACTTGTAAATGATACATGGTTTCTTTCATCCTCCTTTCAAGATTCTCTCTTTGTCTTCTGTCAATTTGATTATAATGTATTTAGTTGTGGCTCTTTTTGAGTTTTTCCTATTTGTAGGGTGTTGAGCATCTTGGGTTTGTAGATGTTTTTCATTGAATTTGGAATTTTTTGGCCATTATATATTCAAATATTCTTTCTGCCTTATTTTATTTTTTTCTTCTTCTTCTGGAAATCCCACATTCCCATTATGCCAATTTTAGTATGCTTCCTGTTGTCTCAAAGTCTCAGAGAATCTGTTAATTTTTCTTCTTTCTTTTTTCTCTTCCTCTGATTGGATAGTTTCAACTGATCTATCCTGAAGTTTGCTGATTTTTTTCCTTCTGCCTGCTCAAATTTCTGTTAAGCCCTTATAGTGATTTTTTTTTGTGTGTTAGTTTTTGTACTTTTCATCTCAAGAATTTTTATTTTGTTCTCTTTTATCACTTATGCTTCTTTATTGATATTCTCTATTTGGTTAGACTTTATTCTCATACTTTCTTTTAGTTCTTTAGACATGGTTTCCTTTATGTCTTTGTATGTGTTTAACCTAGCTGATTTAAAGTCTTTGTCTAGTAAGTCCAACACATATGCTTTTTTAGAGAGTTTCTTTTGATTGCTTTTTTCCTGCATATGAATCAGGCTTTGTTCATTTGCAAACCTCATAATTTTTTGTTGTGAACTTGGAGTTTTTAGAACATAATATGACAGCTCTGAAAATCAGATTCTTCTCCCCTCCCTAGGGCTTGTTGTTATTGTTGTCTATTTTGTTTGTTTATTTGTTTAATGACTTTCCTGGACAAATTATGTAAAATCCATATTGTTTGTTGTTGTTGGTAAGTGGCCACTGAAGTTTTTGTTCAGTTACTTTAGTGGCTAATGACTGGACATAAATTTCCTTGAACACTTGAAGCCAGAAAGTCTCCCAATCTTTGCCAGGTGGTTCTGCCTGTGTTAGACCACATTTTCAGTGCTCTGGGAGTTTACAACCCTCTTCCCCCTCACTTCCTGCTTACATAGAACCTCAAGGTCAGTCACAAATGAAAGCCTAGACCTTTGTCAGTTCTTCCCTTGGCATAAGCATAGCTTTATGCTGTGCATGATCTTCTATATTTTGAAAAACATGTTGGAGCTTTTCAAAACCCCCATGGACATCTCATTCCTCAACTTTTCCTTTTAAACTTTTTGCTTAGCTTAGTGTTTGCCCCAAATGTTGCCTACTGCTTCGGGTGAACACAAACTTAAAATATTGCTTCTAAATCTTACAAACACAAGCCCCTGATTAAAAGGGGCTTTTCGTATTGGTGATTTCTGAGTCATATTAGGTAAACTCAGCCTTGTAATTGGCTCTTCTAGGGAACCACTAGATGGGTCAAATAATGACAATTTTTTGGAAATGAAGCTTTGAAAGAACTCCAACCCCATTCTGCCCCCTCCAGTCTGCTAGTTTTTACTGGTGATTGCAGACTATTGATTTTCAAGGCTACTGTGGAGCTAGAGAGAGAAGGATGAAAATAGGATGAAAATAGGACATGCTTTTTGTTCTTACCAAGATTCAGCCTTTTTTTTTTTTTCTTTATTGAATAAATGCTCCTCAGATTGCTGCTCTGGTAAATTTCCAATATTTTTTAAAAGTTGACTCTGAGAGTTTTTGCCAATGTTCTCATTGTTTTCATGAAGAAGAGGATTCTCAGAGACCCTTACTTACTCTACCATTTTACTGACATCACTGATAGTATGCTTCTTTAGACACCCCCTCAACTCCTCACAAAAGATACTTTGATATTTAGGCAAAAACCTTGATTAGTACATAAATGCTGTATTATGGTTTAAGGTCCTAATATGAGCGCTCTCTTACATATAATGTAGTATTTTTTAAGTAAAATAATGATAAAAATGACTCTGGGAAGTTGCTATATCTGTAATTGTCAGGCAGTAATTAGTCTTTCAAGTTAGCACAGGACCCATTTATTTCTTTGGATTTTATTATTTCGACCACTTAATCAGGCCACCAGCAATAATAGAAAGAACTAAAAGCATTGCTACAAAACATGTAATCGTAAGATGTCTGACTCCAAGAGCACTGAGGGAAGTGGAAATTACGACATAAAAGATCCAAAATGAAAGTGTTTGGGCCAGCTGAAGAGAAGAGGTGACTCCAAATTAGTTCTCTCACCTCCAGCCTAACCCTAAAGGGCAAAGAATGACAGCTTAGACAGCATATATTCCTCTTGGTTACAAGCTTGCCAAGGCAGTAACTTTCAAGGAATGGCTCAACCTGTGCCCCTGGGAATGTGTACCTTGGAGAACTTTCATTTGCTTTTGATAGACAGGAACCTATAAAGAACAAAAGGAGTCTGACACATAGTATAAAATTGTGAAGAAAAGTTGCCCTTTTACATTTCAGTTTGAGATTTTTTTTTAAACAGTGAAGTTTACATATATTCCGTATCATCCAATATAAAGACACAATTGAATACAATAAATGTTCGTAATCACATTAATTGATAGTACTTGAATGTTTAAAAATATATGCAGAGCGTTTTAAAATATTCAAAATATATTCACATTTGTTTTCTGTTTTAACGTTATAACAATCCTGACAATAGTGCTTGCCAAATTTTGTGGACAATATGACTGAGACCCAGAGACTTTCATCAAATTGTTAGACAAAGTAAGATTCAATCACAGGCTTCCTGTTTGTTAAAATACATTCTGTGCTACCCACATCCTTCTTCATATTAGAGAATCAAGAATTTGCTGTTCATAGTTTCAACTCTCCTCTTTGCTCCATGTACACACATTCTCTAAATCCATCAAGTATTTGATACCTGCGTTTTCAGAAATTATATGTGACCCTTGGTTAGCTTAATCAAAATATTTACAACTCCATTTAAGTCTCCCTTGAATGCACAGTGGGACAAGAAAACTTTGATGCACAGAATTGTCTGTCTTCAGGATGACGTTTCTGACACCATGTCTGGAAACAAAAGACATAATGACTCCATAATATTCCATCTCACTCATGCAAAAAATCTTAAAAATTAAAAAAAAAACATTTTTAGAAAGAAAGAAGAAATTGCCATTTTTTTTCCACAGGAAGGGGGAAATGCTTGAAGAATTTGAATGATGTAAGTTTGTCTGAAAGCTTTAAAGATGAAAGGTATCACTTTTTACCCATTAGCATTATAGGATGATGAGATCCTGAATGTGCCTTGCCACTTCAAAGGGTCACTGGAATACAGCTTTCAGAAAAGACTGCCTGCAAGATTGTGCAGGAGGTTCAATTCCCTTCAGGTCCTTCCTTCCGTGCACTTGAAGATGGCTACAACTTTTAGAGTTCGCCAAAGTTTTTAATGTAACTTCTAAATCTTTCTATTTCTGGGTCCCTTTTGTAAATTTCCATGTAGAATATCAGATCTCTTTTGTCCTTCTTCAGGTCTACATTGAATTTCTAGGACTTAGACCAGGGTTCTAGCCTCTTGCTTTAATATTTATGCTTATCACTTCAGTGAACAAAAGGTACAGGTGCATTTCGGGTTCAAATTCTGGAAACCAATCATGCCTTGCCTAAGAGGTGTCTTGCTGCTGAGACAATTGCCCAGAGAAATCAGATGTGTGTCCTGGAGAAACGTGAGGAATACCAATTGTGAGTTTACTTCTTTAGTCCTCCCAGTGAGAGAAAGGACAACAGACAGAGCTATGTGTGGAGTGGCAAATAGTGTGTAATTATTTGCAAATCTGCCTTAAAGCAAGAGATCACCCATATATCCTACTCTGCTTACCAGGGGAATACTTCCTAGCTAATTGAAAATTTCCCAAGAGGTTATTTTTTGATTATGTCATTCCCAACATGAGGATTTTGAGACTTTTGTCTGATTTTTTTAAATATTTAAACCATTAACCATAAATAGTGTTGTTTTGGTTTTTAATGTTATTCAATGTAGTGGAGACTAAAAATTGTTTTCCTTTACAGTGACTCAGGAGAAATCAGAGTTGGGTGAACTTTATTCCAGTTCCTGATAGAGAGTTTTCCATCTGAGCAACCATTAGCAGTGGGGTTGGACAGCATTCTAAACTCCTCTTGTCTGCTTCTGAAACCGCTTGCTCTCTCTCTGAAGCACAATAGAAGCCATTCGGCCTGGCTAGTCTCTCAGGAGGGTCAACTTTACATTTCCCAGCTCTGTGGAATTCCTTTGAGTAAGTAAGCCTAAAGAGCTTTCTGTTTTCACTTTCTGTCTCTTAATTCTGTTTGAAATCTAATTATCACTGTTGAGTATATAGTTTTCATTAATCTATACATATAATTCCATTTCTATTCCACCTCGTTCCCTGGACAGTTTTAATGTAAAAACTGCTTGCATATCCCTCTTTGTTACATATATCACCACACACACACCCCCCCCAAGCACAAGCATGCACAAACATAATGATTGGTCAAATGTGTTATTCAATTGTCCTAAGATGTCTATATTCAAAGGAGAAGATGTTTTCCCACAGTCTTTCATTGTTGCATTAATTAAAAGTAATGATATTGAGACAAAAAACGTACACTAGACAAGCTCCCACAAAAAACACAGTAAAAATCTTGACATAGTTTGTGTATGTTATAAATTACATAGGATTATACCTATGGCTTTAAAAGATGTACTAGGATACCGTTTTGTGGCTTCTAAATTCTAAAATATCCTCTAACTGCCAAGCTAACTAGAACATGAATAATATTTTGTCAAATGGAGATACACATTTTTTTCTATGCCCCATGGTATTCCTATGGCATTTCACTGTTTTTCACCAGTACTAAAGATTTGGAAGTAATTTTACTTCGTATTTTCCATGTAAGGAAAAAAGAAACATGAGTCTTACAGGATATGTTTCCACTCTTATCATTACTAAGGAATTATTAGCACAAACACTTTCTCATAATGCTAAAAAGAGAACCATAAATTTATGTCAATGTCAATATTGAAGTTTACCTGAGTCCTATGCTTCTGTGGAACAGTAATGCCTAAGGAATCCATCCCCATAATTTTGGTTTTCAGAAATCTCTTCCAACTTCTGTGTTTCAGGAAGTGGCTCAGCACCAAGAACCACCTTTTCCCATGGGACTGAGGTAACACTGCTTGTCCACTGTTTCCCATGACTCCCATAAGACATGGATGACCCCCTGGTTGATGATGAGGCCAAACACAGACCTTCCTTTTTCCTGAACCAGCTGAAAAGGCCAGACACAGACCCTCCACCTTGTTGTTCTTTATCTCATAAATGATTAGCTTAAGACCAGAACTGTCCTTCCCCCTGAAACTGGCTAGACAAAGAGATAAACATCTCCTGTTCAGCTAAGTGCCTGGGACTCCACCTAATTGCACAATACCCCCAACTGTAAATCATGCTGTGTTCCTCCCTGTGACAGTCGAGGGCAAAACCACTGTGCTAAGGCATTCTGATTTTTGGACCTGGTGTGCACTCCTTGTTGTAATAGCCTGAATAGAATCAATTTCCTTACTGGTTCTCCTTTTGTCTTTGGCATCAGTAATGCTGAACAAAACTATGACACTTAAGAAACTACTCAGACAATCCTGAACAATACTCTGAAGGCAGTTGAGAAGTTCACCACCAGCCAGTCCTTGCATAATCTTGTTTCCTTTACTATCTGCATTCAGCTTAAGCACTGCCCACTGGCAAAGTTACATAGGCACGTAAGTACAGATTGGTACTTTTATTCGTCTTTGTTTAAAACAGGGAATCACCTTCCACCAAATCATAAAATTCTCAAGAGCAAGATAAAAAACATGTTTTCTAAGTCTCCAAAACCCTTTGGAGTATCTTTCTCACAAGGGATGGGCATTGTTAGCCTGCTGGGTTTCAGTTGATAATTTTGTCTAAATAAACTAGGTGGTGTTTTCGTTTTTTCTTTCTCAATTTAGAGTATTGAGCAAGTTTTGTCCTCTCAGAATGCCCTTCTTGGAGATAACAGATGGGCCAAATCTGCTATGAGATATCAACACGTATTCCTTGGTAATTCTGTGGGCTTCCTCAGCCATGGTGGCAGTGGGGGTAGCACACAGGGGAAGGAATGAAGATGGATTCATCACCTGGGGCTATGAAGTCCATGCCTCTCCACAGTGCCCCTTCCCTGACCCTAAAGCTCACATACACTGCCAAGATCCAGCTTGTTAATAGAAATAACAGAGCACCAAACTCCTGTGAATATCTCCTGCAAAAAATCTTGTTGGAAAAGGCAGGCTCTAAGATAATGTTCCACACTGGCAATTTGGATTTTCATTACAATACCTGTTACTACCTCTGACCTGTCTACTATATGCCAACCACAGCACTGAGCACATCATAAGTGACACTTTTCAACCACACAACAACTTGCTGAAAGTCAAGTTCAAGTCTGTCTGAATCCAAAGCCTTTGCTCTTTCTTTACTGACGATTGATCTATATCAAGAATACATTTCTTTACTTGATATAAGAGATAGATTGTGGGCCACCTGAAAACCTTCACAGACTACTAATAATCATCAGAAAGATTGGGAAGTGGGCAAGGAAATTCTGAATTCATACTTGTATCGTAATATTCTATTAGGTAAACAAGTTAGGGCCATGTTGAGCAGGTCAGCTACTGTAAGCAAAGGTCTCAGATGTGGCACCAAGGCTGTCTGTCCTCCGATTTCTCTGAACAGCTTAGCGAGAGTCTCCACGGTGTAGTTATAAAATGAACCAATGAAGAAATGTAGAAAAGTATTTGTTTGTTTTCTCCCATAGTGTGTTATGAAGGTTTTAGCCCAAAATCTAAGGAAGCAGAATGAAGATTTCTAGAAAACGCAGGTGAGATGAAGCCAAAGTGTTATTTATACAAACATGAAATCACATCAGCTCGTTCTGAATGCAGCGTAATAAGCCGCCTTTCTTAGGAATAATGAAGCTTGAGACAAAGATGTTTTTTCTCACTTACAGGAAAGCGTTTCAGAGAGCTGGCATCACATCCCTTCTCTACTAGAAGTTCCTTTACACTGACCCGATCCAGGAGTGGTGAGAAGCATGTAAATTGTCAAATGAAATCCTGCTTGTGGTTTGGAAGGAGGAGAAAATAATATGAACCCACCAGCTTTGTTTCTAACCATGCTGAGAAGCTGTTTTTTTAAAACCCTTTCCAAAGCACTGGGTCCTCTGAGGGTGCTTGATCAGTGAATTGTCAAGGTAAATTTCCATCTACCAGTTCTCCAGTTTTAGCTCCAATAAGATGATTCCAAAAGAATAGAATTGCACAGTGAAGCAATCTAAGAAAAATATATCTACCAAAGTTCGGGGAAAATGCCAGGCATGACATGGATAGACAGGCAAAAACTAAGGCCGGGCATGATGGCTCACGCCTGTAATCCTAGCACTTTGGGAGGCCGAGGCAGCTGGATCATGAGGTCAAAAGATTGAGACCATCCTGGCCAACATGGTGAAACCCCATCTCTACTAAAAATACAAAAGTTAGCAGGGAGTGGTGGCGCATGCCTGTAGTCGCAGCTACTCAGGAGGCTGAGGCAGGAGAATCACCTGAACCCAGGAGGCAGGTTGCAGCGAGCCAAGATCGCATCACTGCACTCCAGTCTGGTGACAAGAGAGAGACTCTGCCTAAAAAATAAGAAAGGCAAAAACTATTGGCAAGGAGACCAAAAACTAGATAGACAAAGAGCAATGGCAACTTTGAATGTCAAGAATAACGTACCCATATTGGTACCCTAAAGTACAGGCAGTTTGAATGCAATGCGAAAAGAATTACATAAACATCTATCACATTCACATCTTTTACCACTGACTTTCCAGCTCATTTTTGACTAATGCTGCTCTCCTCTACACTCACCCAACATTCAACCTGGGCTCTATCTTCGTGCCTTCTGACAAATGCTTAAATTGTCTGCTGCTGCCACAGCCCAATTAACCTATCTCCTTGATTTAATATTCCTGAGGCTTGTGTCCCAATCCAATGAGGCTCATTCAAACACTAAGAGGCCCAGATTGAGCTCTCCAGGATTCTCTTTTGTGTCCCCTCTCACCATAGAGTCATGCAGTGCATAAGGACGGTCCAGTCAATGATGGATCACACATATAGTGGTGGTTCCCTAAGATTATAATGTCATAGTTTGACTATACCTTTTCTATGCTTAGCTATGTTTATATACACAAATACCATTGTGTTACAATTGCCTGCAATATTCAATATAGTAACATACTCTACAGGTATAACCTAGGAGCCACAGACCACACCCCATAGCCTAGGTGTGTAGATGGCTATACCATAGAGTTTTCTCTAAGTATACACTACAATGTCACACAATAACAAAATCTCCTAATGACACATTTCTTAGAACATATCCTTGTTGTTAAGTGATACATATCTGTACTTGAACGCTGTACTTGCGTTCCTCCCCCACTGAACTCAAGCACAACTTCTGCTAAAGGTACCCTCTTCACAGAAATTCTCCCTGGGCTGGGCACAGTGACTCACACTTGTAATCCTAGCACTCTGGGAGGCTGAGTTTGGCAGATCACCTGAGGTCAGGAGTTTGAGACCAGCCTGACCAACATGGTGAAACCCTGTCTCTCCTAAAAATACAAAAACTACCCAGGCGTGGTGGTGGGCATCTGTAATCCCAGCTACTTGGGAGGCTGAGGCAGGAGAATCACTTGAGCCTGGGAGGCGAGGTTGCAGAGAGCCGAGATCATGCCACTGCACTCCAGCCTGGGCAACAGAGCAAGACGTTGTCTCAAAAAAAATTCTCCCCCAATCTACATTTTGTTGTGCTACCTATCCAGTTCATAGTTAACCTATTTTGAAATTTGGGTATTGTTTTCTGGCAACTCCCACTAAAAATTCACATCTATTTTTTTCCTTAGTCCCTTATTAAAAACTTCTAATTCCACATCCTGTTATACAGTAGTCAGCATTTTCTAATTTATGATAGTGCAATTTGGTAACATTCCAAATACCTTAAGTCTTTGAAGATTGTTACAATCATCTTTTTTGTGACTTCCATATGGTTAGAACTGGAATTCTTCACTTTCCACTTTCAGATTTTGCTCTGTATACTTTTTGTATTTTATTATTCATTTATTTATGATATTGGTTTTAATGCAGAAATGCTTGGGAGTCAAGCTGTTATGAATAATGTGATCCACGTGGGGATTTTCCAGATTTTTGGATTTTTGGTCCTACACATACAGCATCAAGAACCCCCAAGAAATAAGATTACTGGTTGAGACTTGTGAAGAAAACAATCAACTTTTATTTTACAAAGGCCACCATGATTACTAAAAAAATGTGTATCATTATAATCACAGTAGTGGACTAGACCAAGGGAGAAAAAGGACATATGCAGTCATATGGAAGGTTAGCCTTATTCATGCTTTGCAAAATGTTTACTCTGTGAAATGTGTTCGGGAACCACATTGCCTCTAGACATGATTCCAGTAAACATCATGAAGAATATTAGGATTTTGCAGGCCAGACTGGCTTCAAAAGTGAGTACACTAGCCAGGGAACCCACAGGGAATAAAAGAGCACTCTGGTGTCATGTTGCTAGGAGAGTCAAGTTCTCATGGCCTTGTGGGGATGGGAAACAGATTGAGGATCTTGGATTGGAGAAGAGATGTCCTTTGTAATTACACTAACTAGGCATGTTCTTGGTGGTCCAAACCTGTACTTTTCATTTTTTGATAGACTATAAAATTTATCTACTGTGTTTGTTCATCGTTAGTCTAAAATATAAGCTCCATGAAGGTAGGAGCCTTACCTGTGTTCTCTGTTATATTCTCTGTGCCTAGTACCTAATTTGTAAAAGGTTTCTATAAAGAATGAGCTAAGGAGAAAGAGTGAATGTATGGGAAGGCCGACTTTTGTCTCAACACAAAGACTTTTCTAATTATGTACACTGACAGGCTGGGTGGTCTTCCCCAGGAAGTGCCTTTCTCCAGAGAGCCGGAAGAAACCCAACAGCTGGGACATGTGATGAGATGACACATCAGAGGTGTTTGACCACTAAGGTCATTTACAGCCTTGTGGTTTCAAAAGATGAGCCTTTACCAAAGACTTTGCAATGGAGGAAGCCCTGGACAATCATACTGTGGAAAGTAAATGACTTGACAACTAATTGAACTTGGGAAATGGGGGGTAAGGAGTCAGAGACCGCACTGAGACTCTCAGCCTGGGGTTATTGGTGCCATTGAGGGGAAAACTGCATTTCAATAGAAATGCTGATTGGTGTCAAACTTTAGGCAATGATTAGAAATCCCAAGTTTAGTGTGTCCGTAGACCACGTAGGAGATATCTACAGGTAATTATAGTCAGGCAGATGGGAAGCTCAGGAGAGGCTGAGGCATGCCACATCCATTTGTTAGAATAATTATCTCCACAGGAAGATATCTGAGGATAAGGCTTAAATGGTACCATAGGTGAATAGCCCATTTAGCTATACAATTTCATATAATTACGTAGGATGTAGGCATTATACCTCCATTTCACAGTTGAGAAAACAGTGGCCCAGAGTGATTTTATTGCTTATAAGTGGCAGAGCTCTAACTTGAATCCCGATCGTAAGAGTCTGAGCCTGAAGCTGCTTCTTCAGCGTTCTGCTCCAGTGAGCTGTGAGTCACCGGAACGAGGCTCCTCCCTACCATGGGACTGGTGAACTGGCTGCTTATTAGCAGTGAGAAGGTTCACCACTTGTCCTTGACACAACTGTGGACAGCCCCCTCCCCATTCTCACTTCCAGTGCCAGTGCTTACCACCTGCTACCAGGGAGCCTCACAATAAAATTGCAAGTTAATGATGGTTGCACCAGCCAAACATTCTTGGATAGGGTGGTACAACCTGTTCCCCAATACAAGGCTATCAAAGCAATGTTTTGATTTTTTTTTTTTCTCTCTCTCTCTAGTGATGTTCACTGTGAGAACAACCAATGGGTAGCTGAGTACGGTGGCTTGGGATCTGGGGCAAAATGAGCTCAACAGGGATACATGAATAAGCTGTTAAAGCCAAGTGGAAATGAGAAGTAGAGGGAATTTGGAGAGGCAGATGAAGAAGGCATTAGGGAGTATTGAGAGAACATGGAGTGAATGCTGTCAGACTGTGGCTTCAGGAAAGGGAACATTTGCCCGCATTTGCCCAGCTGCAGCATTATAGCATCCCTTCCTGTACACTGGATTTACTCTACCAGGCAGAAAAAATGGGAGAGACCACAGGAATCCTGGCAGTGGTGGGGGTGGGCAATGAACTAGCAGTGCTTTGGAAAAGTAATTTTCTGTCTTAAATAGCTGACAGTAGCACCTGCTATAATTCCGAAGAGTTTTGCAGGAAAGCTTTTATTTGCTACACAAGAAAGGCTGGGCAAGTAGATTCCTAGCTGGGAAGTAGAGTCCTAGCACCCACAGAAGGTAGAGACTGGGTCAGTTTTTACTTAAGAGGGCAGTGCTTTACATTGGAAAGCCAAAGGAATTTGGATTCAAATAATTTCTTTTTTTCTTTTTCTTTTTTTTTTTGCAATTTTTGGAACCATAATTCAGCACTACTAGATTAAGGCATGCTCCATCAAACTAAAAATCAAAAGCTTTCCTATGGGGAAAGTCTCAATGTTATAGCTGAAAGAGGTGACAGCCGCATTACTGCCATCAAAAATAATTTATTAACCGTGTGTGTGCAAAGTACTCTGGTAGGCACTAAACCCCAGGGGCTTCCTGTTTCAATGCATCCTCTGCTCTCTGCAGTCTCTTCAGTGTAACGTTTGGTTCTCCACCTGTGAATAAAATGGATACCTTGAAAACTTCATCTTTGTGGAGACTATCACAGGACAAGAGAATGCGGGCTCCATCATCCACATCAATCAGACAGTGCTGGGAAAATGTATTAGGAAGCTGCCTTTCTCAACCTTATATTCTTAACGTTTGTAAATAAAAACCCCTCCTCTTCGGTTTCCACTTTAGGCCAGGAAATCTGGGGAGAGTTGCCAAGCCAGGTTTTGCACTATCAGCATATATCATGCTAACACCAGCTCTTTGCCCTTTGCCTCGGCAGGTACCACGCAGCGCTGGAGAAATAGGTACACAGGTGCCTTCCCAGCCAAGGGAAGAAACCAGCAACGGAATTTGGGAGTCCAACCCCAAATCGTTTTACATTTACCTCTCACAAACACTTGCCTCTTAACGTGTGTACCTGTGCGTACATTTACACGTAAAGACAGTATTTTAAGGCAAGTTCACATAAATGGCTTGGAGATATCTGACAGGTCTGATTACACAAAGGTCTTCTGCACCACCTGCATCTCTCAGGAACTCAGGCAAAGGTGGCCTTCCATCTAGCCGCACCGCCATCCGGCAGGGGAGGGCACGGGCACCCTCCCACCAGCATCCGCCCCCGCCCCTCGCCCAGCAGCGTCAGTCTCTGACCCCACTGGATCCGTACAGGAGACGGGCTCACAATCGGTAGGGAGCTGCTTGTGCCAACCCCCGGCAAACGGGGGTTTGCTTGGATCATTTATTTATCTTGTGTGCATTAAGAAACCAGCATTAGGCGCTGGTGGGAGGCGCTACTCTGCCCGAATCCCAGCCCGCCGCGGCGGTTCTGCACACACACACGCACCCGCCTGGCAGCCAGAGCCCGCCTGGAGACGCCCTCGGCCCGGGGTCCGCGTCCCCGGGGACCCCCGACGCAGTCTCCCGCTTTCGTCCCCCACGCTCAACCGGGCAGGGCGCCGGGGCGTGATTTCCGATCCTCTGCCTGCTTGTCGAGTCCCTCGGAGGCGGGTCAGACCGCACCCGCCGCGGGCGCCCGGTGCGCCCCCAGCCCCTGGCTCGCGGCGGCTACAGCGGCGCCGTTCGCTGGAGTTTGACTCTCGGGCGGCGGCGGCGGCAGCGGCGCGGAGCAGCGGACGGCTGGAGCGAGGGGAGCCAGACCGCTAGCCCTCCGCGCTGCGCTGGGATTGGTCTCTCCGGGAGAGTGCTGGCCGAGGGTTGGCTGCCGGCCGGCTGAAGAACAGGTGCACCTCACCGCCCGGGCTCGCCTAGCAGCCGCCGAGGATCGCGGCGGCCAGGCCGGCCCTCTGTGTCGGAATGCGGCTGGCTGGCAGCTGGCACCCCGCGACCGGCCGGCGGGGCCACTGAAGGCGGTGCGAGGCCCAGGCGCGGCGCGAACGGGCGCCCCAGGGAGCGGGTCGGGCGCGGTGCCCCGAGGATGCCGGCGCGGCTGGAGCGCACGCAGGCGGCGGGCAGCAGCAGCAGCAGCGGGTGCGGGGCCCCGGCGCGCAGGAGGCCGCTTGGCGGGCTGCAGACGCGCCCCGCCGCTCTCTGACCGACCGGAGGCGCCGGGGGCCCGTCTCGCCCCTCTTCCGCGCTCCTCACCGCCCCCTCCCCGGCCCCGTCCCCTCCCCCGCTCTTCTCCTCCCCGCCCGCCGCCCGCCTCTCGGGGGGAGGGGCGTGGGGGCAGGGAGCCGATTTGCATGCGGCCGCCGCGGCCGCTGCCTGCGCCCGAGCCCGCCGCCGCCGCCGGAGCCCGCGCCCGCGCCCGACCCGCGCGGCCCCATGCCTCTGGCGCGGCCCTCGGGGGGGCGAAGCTGAAGACCGGCTCCTAGGATGAGTGAAGGGGCGGCCGCTGCCTCGCCACCTGGTGCCGCTTCGGCAGCCGCCGCCTCGGCCGAGGAGGGCACCGCGGCGGCTGCGGCGGCGGCAGCGGCGGGCGGGGGCCCGGACGGCGGCGGCGAAGGGGCGGCCGAGCCCCCCCGGGAGTTACGCTGTAGCGACTGCATCGTGTGGAACCGGCAGCAGACGTGGCTGTGCGTGGTACCTCTGTTCATCGGCTTCATCGGCCTGGGGCTCAGCCTCATGCTTCTCAAATGGATCGTGGTGGGCTCCGTCAAGGAGTACGTGCCCACCGACCTAGTGGACTCCAAGGGGATGGGCCAGGACCCCTTCTTCCTCTCGAAGCCCAGCTCTTTCCCCAAGGCCATGGAGACCACCACCACTACCACCTCCACCACGTCCCCCGCCACCCCCTCCGCCGGGGGTGCCGCCTCCTCCAGGACGCCCAACCGGATTAGCACTCGCCTGACCACCATCACGCGGGCGCCCACTCGCTTCCCCGGGCACCGGGTGCCAATCCGGGCCAGCCCGCGCTCCACCACAGCACGGAACACTGCGGCCCCCTCGACGGTCCTGTCCACCACGGCCCCGTTCTTTAGTAGCAGCACGCCGGGCTCCCGACCCCCGGTGCCAGGAACCCCAAGTACCCAGGCAATGCCATCCTGGCCCACTGCGGCATACGCTACCTCCTCCTACCTTCACGATTCTACTCCCTCCTGGACCCTGTCTCCCTTTCAGGATGCTGCCTCCTCTTCTTCCTCTTCTTCCTCCTCCTCTACCACCACCACACCAGAAACTAGCACCAGCCCCAAATTTCGTAAGTAAACACTGTGTCTCAACTATGATTTACTACTGGGTTTCCTTTCTGCCCTCCTGCTTTTTCCCTCGCCGCCTGCCTTCTAGCAACCCCCCTCCCCCATCCCAGGTTTTGGGGCAGAGTGAGAGCTAATTAAAACTGGCCACCAGAAGGGAGGGTGCCAGCCTGCCCTGTTTCTGGGGGGTGGGGGCGTGTAGAAAGGGGAGGGAGATTGTCAGGCTCCACTGGCCCCACTTTTGCGGGTCCCAAATGAGAACAGATCTCCCAGCTCCTTTCAAAGGGTTAACGCGAGTGCGATCCCTCCTCTCTGCAGACCTGCTGGCGAGCTGCCGGATCCCGCTCCAGTAGAGGGCCGGGGAGGGAGAGAGGGCCTTCCCCAAGGCACTGAGCCCCTTCTCCGCCTGCCGGTAGGAAGGAAAGAAAGCAAAGCACATGCAAAGTGACCGACGATAAACCACAGAAGGAAGTTATGTCCATGTGTGGGGTGACGAGTTGATGGAGATACGCGTTTAATGTAGCTGAGGACGCTTCCAGCAGCCCTGACCTGGGCAGGAACCGGAAAGGGTTAATTAGAAGCCATTGGGAGACTTGGGGAAAGGAGGCCATCCAAGGCAAAGGGCTAAACTGGTCACCTCCTAGCCTGCGCGTTCCAAGGTGTAGACATTGATTCTGTGACCGGCCAGAGTGAGTTAACTAGGAGGAAATAGGAAGGGAGCCCTGCAGAGCTGCCACCTCTAGGGTCCTGACGAAGGAGGATTTTTTTTTTTTTTTCAGCCCTGCCAAGCCTTTGCTTTTGTTCCGTTCCCATAGGTGGGGTGTGAACCTTATCTCCTCTCCCTCTGTGCCTGAAAAACATAGGCGAGTTGAGAGTTTTCTGCACTCAAGGGTGAGAACATCCATCCGTTTGGAAACATGTCACCGTTAGAATGTAGCATCTTCAACCTGGACTCAGTATGGGCCAGTATACCCAAAGCATGATAGCTTTCTGTTTATTTGTATAGAAAGTGCATATTTTCTCAAAATGTTTATAAATGTTTTAGGTGACTCATTGACCTCCCACCCCACCCCCCACCTTGTTTTTATTCTAAGGATATCTCAGGCGTCTTTTAAACTGATTTGATCAGGATATGGGAGCAGTTTGTGCAACCTGTGAAGGTTATTTAGGACAAACTCCAGCCTGCTAGTTCAAGTTCTGTGCAAGGCTATTTTGCAGAAAACTGTCTGGTTATGCTGTCTTTATATTGTATTTGTGTTTTGAGCCATAGCATCTGGGAGAAGGGAAGAGTGTTCATCATTAACTCTTCAGTGATGGTGGGAATACCGGGTTTTCTTTCAGTCATCTGCTAATTTTTCATTTCCCTCACCTGTGATCTTATCCTGGGTGTTACTTAACCCTTGAAACTTTTTTCTTTTTAAAGAATTTAGTATATTTGTAAGTAAGGTCCAGGAGAGGGAAAGGAAAAAAAAAGCAAACCTACTTTGCTTTGGAAAAAACAGTCTAGAAGATAAATTGGGAGACAGGAAGGAGGGAAGGAAGGAATCTGCCACAAACCAGAATGGCAGTAGAGCCTGTAACTTGCTGCTTCTCTCTCCTTTGGCTGAAGCAGTCATTTTTGAGAGCACATTTTCTCAGGAGGTGTTTAGAGCCTCCACTCAATAAATCTAGCTTGAGTTTTGTAGAAGGATTAAGGATTCATGAGTGTATGTGTGAGCATATTCAGTGGATTGAAAATGAGTCTACTCTGAAGACCCCAGATTTTTGATTTGCTCTTTTGATGCAGTTGATATGAATAATGGAGTGTGGTATATCTCCAACCCTTGTATGCGTTAGGAGAGGAGGGGGACTACACATGGTAGGGGTATTTCATGTTCTTTCCCACTTGATTTCCTTGTGTTCCATTCCGGAGGTCTTTAAAGAAAAGCCCAAGGTAATTATTTCTACCCCTCTATGCTCTCTTCCTATATTCTGTGGACTGGAATGGCAGCCTGTTTAATAAGTAATGATTATTGACAGGGCCCTCAGCCCCAAGGAAAAGAGGGGAAAAATCTGTAAATGGTGTCAATGTTCACATAGACTTAGAAGCTGTATTTGTTTTATTTGTATCTTATGTTCAGTTCTTTCTCTTTTTTAAACCTTTACAAGAAGTTGAATTAAGGTATATAATACAAGTATGCAAAATCCAGCTGAAATTGACCTGGTTTGCATCTATAAACAAGGGAAATTTTAATGAAAGGTGGATTATGTAGTTTTCTTAAAACGTATTTAAATAGGCAAGTTGCATGGTGATTTGAAGAAAGAGGATAGTTTAGTTATTTTTTCATCCAAGATTGCAGGATGATTAACAAAAGGAAATTAAGATTTCATTTGAGAGATTATCAGCAATGCTACTGTAGGATGAAAAAAGCCTGAATCACTGGCGTTCATATTGTTTTTTACTTGTCTTGGTTATGCCCCTAAAATTCCCAGGAGAGAAATTTCCTTTTCCCCAGCTCCTACCTCCGTACTTTAGTGGGTCTTTCCTGTCCTGGTGCTTTTTTTTTTTTTTTTTTTAATGAAAGTAATGGATTCTGTTGTAGTACTTGAAAAATGGTTACGGATGATGCTTTGGTTTTTTTGACTAACCCACAAATTCTTTAATGGCCAGGATCTTTGCTTTTGCATTGGATACCTGAAGGCTTATGGAATGAATGTCTTTGTGTTCATCTTAGATCAATCAGAAGGATCCTGTCTGTAAACGGCAGCATAGCTCTTTGGAGTGGAAGAGGCTGGTTCACTGAAAATGAACATGCTTGCTAATGGATAATGGAATTTTTTCAAGCAAAAACTATTCTCGCTATGGGGAAGGCCCAGTTGGAGAACTGTTTCTAATTTTCTGTAGGATCAAAGACAAAGAAGGATTGAACTTGTAAGGCAGGAGGAGAAAGGAGGGTTTGCAAGTTGATTCTTCTCTTCCCATCCTCCATTGTTTAGGCTGTGAGCTGGACAAAAACTTTCTTCAGTGTTACTGGGATTCTTGGGTTTCCAGCTGCCCAGTACTTGCTTGCACTTCAGACTCTAAAAACGAGTATCTTAAACATATTGCCAGGGGAGATTATTTCACCAAAAACATCTTTGAAGCATTTTGTATTTGAAAGTATAGGTTAATTTGCAGGTTTTTCAAGCCAAAGGGAGGTCACTACAGACAGTAGAGAACAGTGATTTTGACCAATGTACAATCAGTGTTTCCCTTTTACACCTCCTTCAATTTCATTTTCAGATTTGAAATATAGTTGTCCAATGTTGCCAATGCAAATATGGATTGTTTTAGAGACACAGAATTCTTTTACTAAGCTGAAAATACTGTTTAACAGGTGGTAGCCTGGAGTCATTGGCTAAATTCAAATACTAAAGACAAGGAACCTATTTTAATAGATGTTTCCTTGGGTTAGATTTGGAAGGTATATGGTTAATTATAATGAACACACAAATATCAAATAGTGTATTTAAGAAGAAATAAATGTAGAATGTACATTTGATGTTTAAGCAAGGTATGGAGGCAATTTTAATTTAATCAAGTCTATTTAGATGAAACTTTACCTAGTCATACCTACTATAATTTTTAAGAGAGGCATTGATAAAATCATATTTTCTTATTTATTCTTTCCAACATCTTCCTTAAATTTTAAGAGTACACTTGTTTGCTGTATAAGCAGCCTCAGATATAATTTGTTTAAATAAAGTTACTCCTGTACGTTGTATTCTGTCTACATGAGTCTTGGCCTTCAAAGGCATCCACATAGAAGGTACTGACCCCAATCATGCATGGTAGCCAAAGTGAGAGGATTCAGTGCTCAGGATCAATATTTCTTATGAAATCCAATTGAGAACTTTTTTTTTATGAGCACATGCTGCAACCTGAGTATGTTTTGATTTTCTTTGGCCTTAATACAGGATTATGAGACTTTTCTGCTTTAATCAATTATGCTGTACAATTTTACTGTTACACACTTATGCTGCACTTCATGGTCCTAATTAAAAAAAAGAGGGCAGGGGTGGGTGTGTTAGCAAAGATTTCTTAGGGCCATTTTTAGTTTGGACTCGTTGGTCTCCGTGCATGAAGACAATGCGGTTTAAGCATTCCTCCCCAGTTCTTCAAACTGAGGTGAGGGATAGGAGGTGGTGTTGCTAATTGAGAGTCCCTTCTGCAGGTTTGATTTGTGAATCCAGTTACCTTTATATTTATGCTATTTTCAAAACCTGACCCAAAAAAAGCTGGTTTCTGGCAATTTCTCGCTGTTACTGAAGCTTTTCTAAATTCAGGTTGGGCCACAACAGCAGTGTTGGTGCAGTTTGAAATCAGTGCCATCCTGGGAGATCCAGGATGTAGAGGAATACCATCTCTCCTCTCTCTGGAGCTACTTTTTCAGCCCTTCCTCCCCTTTGTACACAATGAGAAGAAAGCTTATTTTCAACTTGCTTTTGTAGAAATTCTTTCCTCATAACCTCTCATCTCCAATGCCAAACATATCTCAATATTCTATCTGGGATGTCAAAAATGGAACATGAAAGTTGGCCCCGAAATATATAAGAGCAAGGGAATAGTCATAAATCTAAGTCTTTAAAATGCATTTGAATTGCTTCTGAATAGAACTGAAATTCATTTTTCTTTCTTTCTAGCTGTTTTTATCTTTAGACTCGTGTGTTGGGTGAGGACAGAGCTGCTACTGCGTTGACAAATACATTTTGAGATCCTAGAAATTTTACTTTTCCACCCAAGAAAGTGTTCCCTCCAGAACCATATACATAGTGAAGTGAGCAATGGACTCTATTTGAAACTTTGCAATATCACAATCAAAACTTACTGAAATAAATGTTTCCTATTCATGCAATTATAAATAAAATCGTTAGACACATGTTTAGTTTGGTTTTCCATTTCACCCTTCCCCTAAGACTACCTGTACTCCTACCTTCCAGTATTTTATAGTTGAATCATGGCTCTGACTGAAGGCTCCTTTCAGGC